ATACTAAAAGAATTTTGTTGTTGAGTGGAATTAATGTACATGCTTTTTAGGCTTTTCTTTGTGATATCATTTGATTAGGGTTTTTTCCAACATTCTTGGAAATTCCATAAATAATATGACTAAGTATAAAGTTGGTCTCTTTAAGCAGTATTTCAAAATTTATATTCTGAGGACTAGTTTGGAATTCATATTTTCTAAGTCAAAAGTCCAATATTTTAAAACACCTTTAGAATTTATTACTATCTATTTAAATACAATTTTCATAAATTTTATTCTGTTTAAAATTCCATAATAAATGAATGCGACTTAACATAGATGATTCTCTCTCACTAAACCCATTTAAGCCACATTCATACATAATTGACCAGCCTTAATCAAGCTTATAATTTATAATAAATGTCATATGAAATGGCTTAGAAATTGAGGGGAAGTTGCTTGAAGCACAAATTATTGTGTTTAATTATTCGTGCTATTAGCCTTTGATGTTAAATGAAATATGCTGTGTGCTCTTGCTTTATTGGCCAACCAATATTTACTTGGCTATCATAACAGGCAAACACACCAAGTTGTCATAGTTAACCATGTGCAGCACAATTGGCAGGGGACTAGAGCTCAAATGGCATTTAACATCACAGAACTTTGCCTGTAGTAAACAACAATTAGTGAGCAATGATTATGCAAGTGAAATGAGGTCAAAACTGCAATCGGCCTGGCCTGGCCGCAAAAACAAATTGGCAGACAACGGCAGAGTACGACCTTCGAAGGCATTAGGCCAAATGCTCCATGCGTTTGGCTGCGTAATGTGTGTGTGTGTTGGTGTGTGTGTTTGTGCTTTGGCCTAATGAATGTGTTTTATGCACAAAGCAAATGCTCGAAATACCAGAAAAGGAAAACACGCCAAAGCCGCAATATTTGGCCAAATATACGAATGTAACAAGAAAATATCCTTTAAAACCCCTTTGGCTTTCAATATTTGGGTGTGTGAGTGTCTGCGAGTATATGTGTGTGTGTGTATCTGTATTTGTATATGCCCGGCCGCAAAGCTTTGTTGCATTCGCCTAAGCCAAACACGGGCTATATAATTTGCTTCGGACCCAATCTTCTGACTATTGTTGCTGTTGTTGTTGTTGTTCGTGTTGTTGTTGTGGCTGCTTGTTTATTATCGTTGTTCGCTGCACATTTTAAAACTAGGCCAAAAACCAGCTGCTAGTCCATTGTTGTTGTTGTTGCTGTTGCTGTTTTTCCTGCTGCTGCCAACTCTGAATAATGATGAAGTTCTAACTGTCGGCTGGCGTGGGTGCGGTTGCATTGCAGCAGGTGCAAAGCAGGTGTGAAATTGTTGTTGGCTGTAAACCGAAGGGAAGTGTAGCTGCAGTTGGGTGAAAATGTAAACGGAATTTATGTGCTGCAACTCAGCAGAGAGAAATAATATAAAACAAAAAGGGAAAATAGAGAGAAACACAAAAGTTGATAGTAAACGAATCTTTAAATTGAAAAAGTTGAGATTTGCTGCAATTGTTAATGAAAAACCAAGAACTTTCTAAGGGTGTTGAGCTGAGTGGAGAAAACTTTGATATATCAATTGCTGAAGATTTGAATGTAAACTCTGAGGATTCTTGGCGTTGCCGGAAAAATAAGTAAGAAATGAAATAAAATGAGCTGTTTAAAGTCCCCCAATCGGGTGAATGAGTGGTACATGAATGGTACATGAATGGTACATGAATGGTACATGAATGGTACATGAATGGTACATGTATGGTACATGAATGGTACATGTATGGTACATGAATGGTACAAGAGAACCAGAGATATTGAAAAGGTTCTACGGGTTCTTCAGAAGTAATCTTTCATTTCAGTTTACCTTTCTGGAATATTTATCCACGTACACCTCTTTCTACCCCCTGTAGCCATCTAGCTCTAATTTATGTATATTTCTTGAATAAAGTAGCTAGACAAGCGCATCAAGCAGACATGTGACACTCTCCAGTTGACTAGAAGTTGAAAAGTAGAGCACATGCCACACCGGCTGACCTTCTTGACGCGCCTCTGATTGCGCTCGTTCTTATGCAACATCAACTGTCTGCTCATGCATTTTACCTGGCTTTGACTTGTGAGCCACGACTAATTAGCCTTTGCCGTTCATTGTGAAATGCATATGAGATGCGCCCTTTGCCGTGCTGTTGAGCGGCATAATTAAGCTCAGCGGCAATTGCGCGCGACAGTGTCAGAGGCATGAGCCGAGTCCTTCTATCTGTCTGTCTATCTGTCCGTCTGTCCGGGTGTCTGCCTGTCTGCTTAGTTGTGAATTTGAGTGTGGAGTGTGACGTTGCCTTGATGACAGCCTCTAAGTTTTTAATGAGCAGCCAGCCTGCCAGCCTGCCAGCCTGCCAGCCTGCCAACCTGACTAGAAGCGTTCAGTGTTGGGGCTTAACAGGGTTAAATGTGCCCTGAGCAGATCTTTATAGGCAGTCGACACGGGCTCTCCTGGGGTTCGATGGGCCAGTGTTGCTGGAAGTTTGTTGCGTTATTTATGAGCGTTGCGGATCTGTCACTGCCACGATTAAATACCCAATGGGGGCGTGGCCGGGCGGAGCTGTAAACTTTACATGGCCATGCGGGCGTCGTTGTCGTTCGCAGGCCAACCTTAAGCTGTTGCGACGCAACTTTTGTTGCTGTGCGTTGCCAAGTGACAAATTTTTTCTTACACTTGAAAATTTATTGCGTAACGGTAATGCGAAAGTTTGCACTACGCCCGGAAAGTTGTGGAAACTGTAATGCCAGCAGCGTGTAGTAAAGCTGTTTATTTGCCAACAATGTTTGCCCGCCCCCAACTCGAGTGCAACTCGTGTGGGGCAAGTGTCAAATTATGTACAGCGAAATTTTGTCAAGTGTAGCCATGATTAATGAGCGTGCAGTGTGTAAGCAGGTTAACAAGATAGCACTTAGTCAAAGGACTCGCATCTGTGTCACGGCTCGGGCTAATAATGACCAAATAGCATCGCGCATGAAGTTCTCAAGTGTCTCTCCCCTCTCTCTCTCTCTCTCTCTCTCTCGTGAGCATCTCACTTTCGCTCTGTGCATGAATGAAAAATGAAGACGCTCTCGCCTTGTGACACATTTCATTAAATTAAGTGCTACCCGAAAAAAGTGAAAGTCATTCGACTGACTTTTATGCAGCTCAAGGCAACGCATCAACAAGTGAAAAGTGCTAAAAAAAAAACAAAAACAAATGACTAAAATGTTTCGATAAAAGTAACTATCCCTTTGAGTCAGTGAAAAGCCGAAATGGAATCTAATATAAGAAACATTCTTAATGTCTCAATGTCACATGCGGGCCATCTTGATGATGAATACAAATGATGCCAAGCCTGATATCTACATTAATTTATCTATTGTTTTTGGCCTTGCGGCTGGAGCTTCTGCTCTTGAAGTTTATTTTGAGCCTATCAGATCTGTGGGAAAACTATATTAATTGTGATTTATGTTCGTTTGTTTTGGCAGCTGCTTCAAAGTATTGTTATTATTATGAAATTATAATATTATAGTATTATAATATGCATTGTTCAAATAATACTCAATAAATTGCTATCCTACTCTATTGGATGTAAATATTTATTATTGAATATTATTGCATTTCTGCATTTTTATATGGAATCTATATATTATGGAAACAAGCCCAATCAGACTGCACAGATCTCGGTTTATTGACCAATTAGCATGATCCGAATATAAAAATTAAAAAAAATATAAATAAAAATTAAATTACAAACATATATGTCAAGTCAATCATATATACATATATCTAATCTCTGTGAGAGAGAAATATATACTATTTTACTTTTCTAATTTATTTTATTTAAAATAATGCAGTAAATAATTCTTTATTATCTGAATTATTAATATAATGAGGTAAGGAATAATTTATTATATTAATAATTAATATAATAGTAAGCGTCTAGGTAAGTAAAATTTTCTGTTCCAGGAGCAGCTTCGAGTGCCGACAGAAGCTTGAGATTCGTCCCAGTGGGAAATTTGTTATGTAATATTTGGCTTGACTTTGGCTTTCACTTTTCACTTGTACATGCCTGAACTTGTCGACGGCTCTATACGGCGAAAGTAAAAGGGAAAGGATAGCAACGCAGAGTATTGCAGCGATGATTTCGTCTCTCGGGAAAATGTTCAGCATGAGCATGGAATTTACATAAGTAATAAGAAAACCTTTTGTGCCCTACGCTTCACTTATACACTGTGGCCAACCATGGCAATCTAAATAAAGGGTTTTATTTTTATTTATTAATTTTTTGTTTTTAAGACGAATTTTGCTTATTAGATAAGAGCTTTAAATAAATAGAAATTAATTTTTAATGAATGGAATTAAATGCAGCTGCAGCTAAATAATCTGATTTTAATATCAAAACTATTTATTTAATTTTTATTAAAAATTAAAAAATAAATAGCAGCAATTTCTGTATAGCTTCAGCTCCTTCTCTCATTCCAGCTTCTTTCAAGTTTTCCCATGTCAAAACATTACAAATATAACTCAACAGAATCATCTACGTTTGCTACCTCATTCGCAGCTCTTCAAATGTTTCCTCATACTTTGTAGCCGTACTTAAATTACTTAAGCCCTTTTCAGTTTCTAGGAACAAACTGTGCCACTTTAATTACGGCTCTCATTCAGTATTCAAATATTCAAGAACTTCCCATTTCAAAGCTTTCCCATTTCATAACACAAAAAAATAGTTTTAAATTTCTTAAATTTTTATCAAAGTTTACATTTTTTCTATCATTTCCTGAGTCTTGTCCTACATATCCTATTACAAGAGTGCTGCAGTTTTCATTATTTTTTTATATTTGTATTTCTCTCTGGGCTTGCAACGCTTTCTCAGTTCGTGGCTTTGTCAAAGTAAATATTTGCCGTTTGTAAACGAATACCGCAGTCTCAGTCGGCTTCAGATATCCTTCACACTTTAAGAACTTCAGCTTTGGCATTCACTTACCTTTGTCGTTCGGATCGAACTCAGCCTCGAGCTCTGCTTTGGTGGGCTCCGGCTCGGCGGCAGCAGCAGAGGCAGGGGCAGGGGCAGAGGCAGAGGCGCTGCCATTGTTGGTTGTAGTTTTGGTTTCCGATTTTTTCATGGTTTCTCTCACTTTGTGGCCTCGAAATACGGCTTGAATCTTTGTGGCGGCTTTGGCTGCAATCAAATGTATCAAATCGCAAAAGATATTAGGGAAAAGTCTCATCTATTATGGACAACTTTAGAGATACTTAAAGTGAAACTTAAGTAAAAAGTTGGATTTTAATAAGACGCGGCACAAGTTTCTGTCAAAACTCTGTGACAGCTTTTCTTCTGCCAAGCATTTATTGTTGTTGTTGTTGTTTTTTTATTTTTTGTGTTTTCCTTTGCCTTGTAATAACTTTTGCGCTTTCAAGTTTCGCAAAGCAATTAACTTCTAGCAGCGGACAGCCCACAGCAAAATCGATCGATTTCTGATTGAGCCCGCAAATTGTTGGAGCTTTTCTTTATATTTTGGGCTGCCTGCCAGCTTGGCTAATATACTTGAAGCGTAACATCGTGTGCGTGTTCGGATTTTTGGGCGGAGACCATGCATTAAATGGCAACTGTAGAAAGTTTACTAGAGTGCATGGAGATACCCTGGAATGTGGCGTGCGTAAGGGGAGTTTCTATTTTTTATTGTTTCTTTATTAAGTTTGCTTTCAATATAAATTGGATTGTATGCTTTATCACTATGTGTGTGTAGCACAAAGGAATTGCAATATATACATATATAAGATATCTGAGGCTTTCCATGTGGCGGCTTTTAGCCGGGTCAGCGTTCAAGTTTTATGGCATTTTTCACGCAGAAACAGATACCCAAATGGCTGGCCTTGAATAAGTTATAATAAATTGACACGTAAGGCCTTTTTCGCCAGCACTATCACTAAAAGCAGCAGCAGCAGGAGCAGCAACAGTAGCAGCAGGAGTAGTAGCAACAACAGCAGCAAGCCGAAACAGAAACAGTTTTGTGGCTTGAAAAATGGTGTTGTATTGTGCAAGGCTATGTGAAACTGTGTCAGGCAGCCGGCCAGGTGGGTGGCAGGTGGCATGTGTCAGGGCGTGGCCAGCCGATACAGGCCACATTTTGCTGATGGCTTTGCCTGTCAAGTGGCAGCCAGCTGCCCAAAGTGCTCCAGTCGAGCCATTAAATCATTCAATGGCCAGTCGTTTTTTTATACCCTGAACCCATTTTCAATGGGAAATCAGGGTATAATGGTTTTGTTGAAATGTATGTAACAGGGAGAAGGAAGCGTGGCAGACCCCACAAAGTATATATATTCCTGATCAGGGCGACGAGCTGAGTTGATTTGGCCCTGTCCGTCTGTCTGTCCGTCTGTCCGTCTGTCCGTCCGTCCGTCTGTCCGTCTGTCCGTCTGTCCGTATGTATGAACGCGTCGATTTCAGAAGATATAAGAGCTAGAGACTTCAAATTTTTTTTTAAATGTTCGTAATTACAGCGCGCATATCAAGTTTATCATTAAAAATCGATACCTCATCCCGATATTTTTTTATCGATAAAAAACCTTATCGAAAACCAGTTATAAAATTATATCTTCTACACCTTTATTGCTAGAGTCTCCAAATTTTTAATGTATGCCTATATGCAATTTATACAATTTCGGTTTTTGTTAAAATTTACCCCCCACCTCTAAATTCACCCCCTCACCATCACTTTTGTAAAAAGCGTATTTCAAATACTAGAGACTTGTGCATTGGCAATTACATGCATATTCATGTTATAATCATAATCTGAAAGTTTCATGAAGATCGTACGTCCATAAAAAAAGTTATTAAACAATTAAGTTCTCATAGTAAGCGCACACTGCAGCCCATGCGTGTTTATGCGTGCGTGCTTGTGTGTGTATGTGTGTGTGTATGCGTGTGTGTATGCGTGTGTGTGTATGTATGTTTGTGTGTGCGTACGTGCGTGTGTGTGTGTGCGTGTTTCTTGTGTAAGCTGAAAGACGCGAAAAATTATTGAAATATCTATTGCTCCAAGGGTTCAGGGGATCTCGTAGTCGAGCAGTCTCGACTAGAGCTTTCTTACTTGTTTTTTTCTATTTTTTTTTTTCTTTTTTTGGTTGCGGCCAGATGCAACTATCTGGCTCAGACAGTTAACCAATAAACAATTTAAAAAACTTACACTATTTGTAAAGGAATTTAAAGTCAATTGAAGTGCTGTCGGGCATGAATATAAATATGCAACATTCACTGCATCGAGTGATACCAAATATGAATTGCTGTCAGCCCTAATAGCTTGATAATGGAATTAAATATAAAATAATTGCATTAGCTCTGGGCCACTCTAATGAAATCAAGTTGGAAATTGGAGCGATGAGAGCTTTCTCTATACATGATTTATGTCAATTTGGAATATATAAGCAGTGCATGCAAAAAACAGCTAAAAGCCTGACACGTTACATGAGTCCAAATGAAATTTTACAGTCAGCTCGCTCCAGTTGATAGCCTCGATTTTAGGGCAGCCATAAAGCTGAAGGTTATTAAATAAATTTTACATGCGGCTCATTAAACCTGGCAAATGGAAAGCAAAAATGAGCCGCAACCGAGTGCTGCCAGTTGTCAGTTGCCATTGGGACGGTGCACTCGAGTGGAAAGTAAAATGAATAACCACAGACACACAGGTAGCAAATTTACACGTGTGAATGTGTACACTCCTTCCTTGAATTAAAAGCAAAAAAAAAATATATATATATATAAATAAAAAACTTAATGAACTGTATACAAAACCTAAGTAATGTTCACTTTGCCCAAGCGTCCAATTTCAACATTTTTTCCGGCTGTACAACGTGGCGTATGTGCAATTTGCTGTGCGTAAAGTCAAAACACATCAACGTCAAAATATATTTAACGCCTAATTAAAGTTCAAGTATATTTTTGGGCGAAGAGAGAATCGCTTCCGCCTCCTGCTGTCAGCATCTAATTCGATTCTGATGCCAAGTGGAGCTGCTGTCGCTCGTGCTGAGCTTTCTTTGTTTATTGTTGTTGCATTTACATTTTGTTGCTGTTTTTGCAACCACTTAATGGGCATAAGCACGCTTAACTGGCAGCGCGGAATGAGTGCGGCGAATGGCCAGCAACTCTGTCCAAGTTAACTTATTTACATAATTAAAATTCATTAGCTAACGTGCGCCTGTCTCTGGCAGCAGCCTCGCAGCTAGTTTCGCTCTCTCTCTCTCTCTCTCTCTCTCTCTCTCTCTCTCTCTCTCTGAAGTTTGCTTTTAGTGGGCGTGAATACGCAGTATTTGCAGCACTGTTGCCATCGCACATAAACAAAAACACAAACTCTGATTAAAATGCAGTTGGCAAATGCGATTTTATGTCCGCTGTGCGTAAATAAACTGTGGCCAAAGAAATATAAATACCAAACGGAAGCATATTTCAAATAACAGGATATTATATTATATAAAAATATAGTTGTAAGCTAGCGGAATTATAATTATAATTATAATTAGCAAGAGCAAGCTTTGACCTTGGGCGAGCAGAACTTCACCCTACGCTGGACTTAAGCTGGAACACAATTTAAATCGCTGAGCCACGCCAAGAGCAAAGCAACATGTAATATCTCTTATATAAGTATAAGCCTTTCTTTGCCAAGTCGAGCCTTCGCCTCTACTCGAACTCGCCTCCTGCCAACTGCCAACTGCCAACTGCCAGCTAGATAGAGCCTTATTTGTGTACTGTGCCCTATAGGATGGCAGGTGATACTGGACTTAAACCTGTAATCGTTACTCAGGCCCACTAACTGTCTCGTTTTATGGCCAATTTCACAGGGCTGGCTGCACAAATGACGTGCAATTTATTACTTTAATTAAATTGTAGACGTGGTTGGCGCTCGCGTTGCATTTTTATTGTGATTTTGTTTGCGCGCGGCACGATTTTGCTTAAACTTCTATCTCAGGCAGAAGTAACTGGAGAATATGAAAACGAATGAGCTATGGAGGAGCAAAGGCTGGCGGTGCAGCAGCAAACATCGAGCAGCTGTTTCCTGTTCGTGTTATTATTCTACGACTATGAAATCACAGTCGTGGCCTTAGACCATAAACTGTATGCTCGGTCGTGCATGCACCTTAATGACAGTCTTAAATAAATAAGCAGCTGCCCTCAGCCACAGCAGGCAGCAGGCAGCAGGCATCAGCTAAATGGCCATGTTTTAGTCCAGCTGCCGGCCTGGCTTGCACGACAAGTTGCGTGGCAATGCCAATTGATAAATTTTGAATATTTCATTGGCGAGCAGTTTGCATTTACAATAATTTTGCCATATCACGTTCTCATGCGATCAACTACATCCACAGACCGGCTGCATATTAAATTTGCATTTCATTTTCCATTTAATTGATTTATATACATTTTTTTCGCTTTAAAGTTGTCGGATTGAAACTTTAGTTGGCTCGGTGGCACGTGCTGTAAATCCAAATACAAATAAAATTCATACATAACAAGACTTGGCCACGTTTCACTCTATTATTTGATACAGCTTCAGCTGTTGTTCAGCTCACGGAATTCGATTATAATGACACACAGCCAGCTCCGTGGCAAATATTGGCACAGCTACTGCGACAATAACAATCCAATAATAACAAACTGTCGATGAAGCAACTATTGATTGCATTCGTGCCAGCGAAACTTCATGAGAGCTGCAAATGGGGCATAGAATTGATAAACAACAACAACAGCAAACAATATCTGAACTTGGCAACACTTTCGCTACTCAGCCGCTCATAAATTAACAAAAACTCGGAAAACTATGACAAGTTGCTCCGATAAATATTGAGCTGAGTTATTCGTTTAAGTAAAATTATCGACCTTAATATATACATATATATAATGAAATATATATATATATATATATATATATAATGAAATTGCATGAATGGCAACGAGCTGTCGTAGTTCATATATATAATTCAGAAAAACTCTTGCCCCATGCTTCAAGCATGTCCATGTCGGTCGCCCCTTAAGTGAATCTTTATGGCTGGAACTTTTACTCTCTGTTTTGTTTATGTTTTTGTTCTTCGCTTTGCTTAAGGTAATTGAGCGACGGGAACTTAAATAGCTCTGCTGGGATTAAATCAGAGCTGGCCGTGCGAGGGTACGTAATATCACAAATGAGATGC